GAGTTAGGACCATTTCTTGAAAGTTTCAGACTCTCAGCTTCCCTGGTTCCGGAGTTATTCATTTTCTCGCCAAAAATTTTCACGGGGCCATACGTAGCAACCACGCACATTGGGAGGCTGAATTTGATAAAATGAAGTTGTAGATGAGTTGGGAACATTTCCTGGAACTTTCAGCCTCGCAGCTTTCTTGGTTCCCGAGCTAGCGGTTTTCGCGCCAGGAACCCTCACGGGGGCGTACGCGGGAACCACGAACCCCCGGGGACTAAATTTGAAATCTTTGAGTTCTACTTGGACTGGAAACAATCCCAAAATTTCAGCTTTCTAGCTTTTCTGGCTTTCGAGTTAGCAATTTTCCCGCCAAGACTTTGAGGCGCTCGTACGCGGGGCCTAGACATGCTTGAGGGTTGGTACCCCGCGGTCCTGGGGTGGCACTCGCAAAATTTTGGCGTCGGAGCTTGCTTGGGTGCCGCACACACACACACACCAGGGTCGTCGCAATATGCGTTTTTGCATTTGCATATTATGCAAAAACGCATAACTAGCGAGTTGCTAGAAAGCAAGCAAAAAACGGTTGACTGTTTGTGCGGTTAGGCATACTACTACCAGTGCACCATTGAAACGAATTGGTTTTTCTACTGGTGGATTTGAACAAATAGCTGAGTAGACGGCATTTTGTCGTTGCATCGACAAATTGTAATTTGAAACCAAGGAGCAACAAAATTAGTGTATTTTGTAAGTTGTCGAACTTCTTCAGGCTACTGGTGAAGGCTTGTTGTCCGATTTGAGTCGACTAAACTTCCACGTCGATAAAACAGAGCGTTACCGTCCGAGGTGTTTCATCACATCTACCACTGTTTCACTGGATGGCAAGTTACAAAATCAGTGGACACTGGAGGAAACTTTTATTGACGAAACGCATAATGCTGCTGTATGTTTTTTCTTTCTTGGAAGTAGATGTACGCATTTTTCTATTGGGAGCGACATATTCAAATTGCCAATTTTTTATGTTTTGTAGCGCAACAACTACACAAAACGCATAATGTCGAGACCTTGTGTGTGTATGTATGTATGTAATGTGTACCAAATGCATTTTATCCGGGAGTTTCAACTCGAGGACCGGAGAAGCTAGGAAGCTGAAATTTTAAAGAGGGGCTCCTTACCCGCGTGTGATCTCGCTAGCTCAAATTCAGTTTCCGTGCTCACCTAGCGTGCAGCTGTTGTCCAGCTTAAGGGTATGTATCAGTGAAGGCTGGGCTACACTTCGACACAATCGAGACAGTACAGGCGATGCAAGCAAATTATTTTATCTAAAGGCAAGTCAACTTGGATAAAGTTATCCACTGCAGGTGTGTCGGGAGAAAAAACTGCCAAGTCACTGCATTTTCTCAGTGGATCCAGACGCAAGAATATGCTTTGGTTTTGTTACACTCGATTTCCTGCTCGAGGGTGCTACTGTTTTGAATCCGTTGGCCGAAGACGCTGCCGTTCAGTGGGCAAATTTTAATGAAAAGCCACGGAAGCCGTTTTAGGATGGTCATCGTATCACTGAATCAAGAATCGTATTTAGTGGCCGAACTATCCCAACAGCTTTCAGTTCACGAGTTCGCTTATTGCTTTCTCTTAATCAAAATGCTGTTAGTGATTGAAAATCGATAGCCGTCTTCGATGAGTTGACTTCCTAACGCGGTACAGTAATGAAGGATTTATGGCCCAGCATCACTGATGTCAAAATCGCAGACTCTGACAGATATACACACAAAAAATTTACTGCTGTTCAGAAAGTGCTTGAGCGATCACTTCATGAACTTTTGTCGTCGTGTTAAAAATCGTCTCGACACCACTCTCATTTCCTCTCTCCCC